ACCTAACTTTTGGATATTTACATCTGGCCATCTTTTTCTGCCCATCAAGATTGCATCTGTGATTGATCATCCAGCTGTTTACCCGGTTAACCGCTTCCTCTAGATTGGTAATTGTCGGATCCAGTCTCCTGTCACGAACTATCAGCGTCAGGTCGTCGACAAAAGCGATTATCTCGACCTAGTCCATCTCGCTTGTAGCGTTAAAGCCTCGTCATACAGTATATTCCACAGGGTAGTGCCTAGAACCGAACCCTGTGGAACCCCCGCTGTGGGCTCAAATATTATTTCTTCACCGTCCGGTTTGTTGGCGTATAATCCTCCTGTCGGTGAGGTAGCAGTGTATACTTCTCTGGAGATACGCCGGTATCTCTCTTCCCTCTCAGCACCCTAACTCCATTCCTTCCGTTCACATCCTTAACTTTAGGGAGGGTTAGGAGGGTCAGGAAACCCTGAGCAGCCCGCCTCCGGTATCCCTCGGGGTGTCTGAGGAATGAAACACGTTGACCTTTTCCTTTTTTCAGCCTCCTTAACGCACCGATTGTCGCCTGTCTGGAAGCCGTGCTGAAGACACTCTTCACGTCCAGTGACCCCACCAGACAGACCTCACGAGTCACGTGTCCTCCACGCCCTGGACTATGCAGAAACCCTACTGTTTTAGGGATCTTTTCAGGATTTTAACCACTATCGCAGGGATGTTGTCTGGGCCCGGTACTTTATTTACCGGCAGTTCGTTGGCAGCAGCTACTATTTCCTCAGTCTTCACTAGCTCTTCGGTTCCTACCCTTGGTTGCTCACCATCAAGCGGCCTCAAACGGTCGTGGACATAGGGAAATCTTCCATTATAGTAGCGTCGAGATTTGCGGTATTGCATCCCACCACTGCCGTTCTTACCCTAATCTTACACGCCACTCTGATACGCCTTCTTGCAGATGTCTTTATCTAGCTCGTCGCATAACCCTTTCCAACATCTCGCGCCGATCAGGTACTTCAACTGGAGTCTCTTCCGCCGCCTTCTCCTTTGCCGCACATATCCCGATTCGTAACTTGCGTTACAGTGCAGGCCTTACGCTCTTTTTCCTCAGGGACATCGTATTATTATATGTTCAAGATGGTATGATGTATCAGTATAACATAACATGTCGGCCGTTTGGACGGTTCCTCATCTCGTATCCCTTGCTAGCTTGTCAAGCGCCACTGGATCTAGCTTTTTAATGTTCCAGCCTCTAAGAGCCTGCTCTCGATCTTCTTTCTTGATCTCCCTCGAACTTCCACACTTAGGGACTCGTCCTCTAAAACCTTCCGATCCTTCACATGATCCTTGTATCTATTTGTAACAACAAACAAGTTCGCGGCGGGTGCTCCCCAAGCCGGCGATGCCGCATTAATGTCTTCCGCCCATTATCCCTTATGGTTCTAACTCAGGTTCTAACTAGGTTCTCTAGAGTCTTTTCAAACTGAGCCACCCAGAATAGTAGACTCGAGGAGGGCTACCTGTGGGTCCAAGTTGAGGGGAAATACATTTAAAGTGTGTATTTCTCACCAAACGACACGACGCAAATGTCTCCATGACACAACATAATGACCGCTTTCCCCGTTAGATTCGAAAAAAGTCCTTCTCTCACGATCCCTTTCCACAACTTAGTTATTAAACATAATTTCCACCTGAGTCGCAAGGTCCGGAGGCACCCTCATTTATCTGTAGCCCTTTAATCGGCGATGCTGCGCTGCAAAACTTCGGGAAAAAAGATTTCATGTTTTTAAATGAATGTGCTCTCACTTGAGCTACACAACAGTTTACGACGCCAATGCTTTATTTAGCGACGCTTTGCAGCGCGGCATCTCGTCGCGTCGCCAAGTTGAGTGCAGAGCAAATGAGAATCGACCTTTAGTACATAATTCTTTTACTTTTTCATGTTTATAGCACTACACGTTACACGTAATTATTTCAGGTTTATTTTCGAGACAAGAGATCGAATGTGAATTGCGAATTGCAAATCATCAAAAGGTGAATGAAATTTTAAAATTCAATCTCTGCATCAATTAGTTGCATTGGATACGCAACGAAGTTTCTAATTATTTGTACATGCATTTAACAGAAAATTATTTTCTGGCTGTGGAAAGGGTGGAAATAATAATAGGGTTCGATTTGTGCTTAAATGAGGTTTCGTAACATATATAATCGAGTAAACTTAGATTAATGTTTTTATTTGGACATCAGAAGCTTATAAATGTTGACTGCCATCGTCAATTATATTTATATTACTTCAGATTTCTTGTGGCAACGTAATTCCTTCAGATCCACGCAGTAAGTTATGGTTTTAAAAACCCGGAAATCTGACAGTTCGGCAATTAGACGCCTATAAGACGCTACCAGTAGCGCCGCTCGGTTATGCTTTACACATTTTGGATTTCCATTGACGGTATTATCCGTGGGAATTGGTTTCAAATATTTACTACAAATTTGATGCTTCGGTTAGAATACCACAGCGTAACCGCAAAACCAAATTGTCGTGTACCTTGCATTATGGTACCAAAACGCCTCACTTTGAAGACTGAGACGCTACTGATAAACCCAGTTACGAAAAAAAGTGTATTTTTAGTACAGACTCGAAGTAATAAAATGAAACGAAACGCTACGTAATGAAGCGTATTAATTGTTAACTCTCCCGTGTTAATGATATTGAGCCCTTGCGGCTTTGCTTTCTAAACAGTAATTGTTGAACTCTGAAGTTAATGTAATTGTACGTGTTTGTCTGCCGTTTAACGCTCGGGAGAAAAGAGGTAAAGGGTAGCTGTAATTTACACAAATTCAACAATGGGAATTACAAGCTATCTTATTTATAATAGAAATATATCTTCTGAATAAGAATTTCCGGTTGTAATTTGGGCTTTCCTTTTCAGGCATCAGAGAAGTTTTCGGGTAAGCAAAACAATGAAAATGGGGGCTGGACGAACGCACTTTCTCTTTAAAGGAAAGGATCTTTCATGTGGATAATTGGAATTCCTGGACAATTATAATGATATACATCGCATATTATGTATGTTTTGGGGGTGTAATTAGTAATTAGATACGTTATCGCCACTTAGACTAATTTTGTTAAAAACATTCTTTCGTGACACGGCGCACCATTGATCGAGTATTTTTTACCAAGAAGAGGATTATCTACTCATGTTTTTCGTACTTTCATGAGGCTACTCATACAATGGAACGAGAGGTGTCTTTCGCATCTAAGCACCAATTTAATTTAGATAGTAGATTTAAATAGGACACATGGCACACCCACAAATAATGTCAAAATGGAATACAACATGGCAGTTAGTGACATATGTCCAGTAAAATTTCCTTCGAGAAATAACCTAGACGTTAATTTGAAGGACCGTCGCTTTATTTGAAAAAAGTGCCTCCACCACCCAATTTTTTTACACACTTATATGTAACACCCTGTATACCGTAAGTTAGTCGACATCATCGAGATTTTGTTTGATTCGGATTCCTGGTGCTTCGAAACGAAGAGCTTCTAAAAAATCTGCGAATTTAGACGAACATTCAAGATATGATAGATGGACCACTTGATTGTGTATCAAAAGCAAACTATAATTGTGGAGTAGGTATGCCACAAACAGTGCAATTCAAATGTTTCAAATGCAATAGTTCGTTACATCCTAAGGAATGTGTTGTAACGTAACACACAAACAGTAGTTGATAGTTCCAAGTGTTTCCTATTTTCTTCAAATAAATTCATCTTTTGTCAGCTTTCATTTAGTTATAACGGTTGCGCCTTGATGGATGCCCAACTACTTTCCTCGTCAGTGAGAGAGCTGCTGTCCTTTTGAAAGGACACCGATTTTCAAAAAAACTGGAAGGAAGGGACCCAAAAATATAATTTTTAAAGTACTCAAATAACAGGAGGAAGCCATTTGGTTAAGCGCTCTACAGTCTACGGTATCTCCTTGGTGGTGGAAACTATTCTAAAACGTGAGTTTGATACTGTTCAACTATACATGTAGTATGCCGTTTGGATTTTGGAATCTCAAAATTGTCTCTATTGAAACTGTATAATATTCGATCTCCTATTCTCTACAGCTGACAGTATACAGTTGACGTATAAAGCACCAATAGCAATCAGTCATCATTTCGACTGCACCGCGCTAAAAAGATTCAAAGCATTATAAGTAAAACAAAATTTCCGTATTTCAATAGGCGCCTTAATCGAAATATTGAAAGAATGTTACTATGCGAAATCCCATACACCTATTGAACAAATGTTTCGATGACATGTAGTACCTAGACCTACTAGTTAGATGAATTTGCGTTGCAATAAATCATACGATAAATGTAGTTATATCCTCCCATTAACCAATAATTTTCGTATTTTCGTGATTTTCTTGTCAAGATTAAGAGTACAGAACCCGCTAGGGTCAACTCTCTGAAAAATCAGTACCGGAAATACTTGCTTATCAGATTTGGAAAGCTTAAACAGAAAGAAAGAAGTCATCGCATACATATCTTGAAACTCAGGTCGATTACAAAAGTTTTTCCAGAAGCGTTTTGTTGAACCACTATTTTAGTGACAAGCGAGTTATTTTTATTGCTCGGGAAAAAGCGCGTTTCAGCAACGGCTATTTTATAACATTAAAGTTTGAGAATAGGTATCAATCACCTACTGCTATTAATACGGTAAATAATTTGCAATGCAAAGTATAATATTAATTCAGTCAATCGGAAATGAAGAAAACAGACCCTAAAAAATTAAATAACGTGTTTTTCTTAACGACTGTGAAAATCTAAGCGTAATTGTTTAATGCCAATTAGTCGTTATAAGTTGATCACTGACGCCTAAGCAGGAAGTATTTTTTGCAGTTCCGTTCAGTTCGCCGAGATTCACTGATAAAATAAATGGCGTCGTTTGCCTTTATTAGGAAGTTTCCTCAATTTAATAAACTTTATTAAATTACGAACCAAAGTCCTGTTATTAATGTTGCCCAATTTCTTTTTTCAGAACTTCGATCAACTTTAGTTAATATGGAGTGCATTTGTTCCACGGCCAGAACAATTCACTGCAAAATTATAATGTTGGATGAGCATGAACTTATTCATGAAATACAGGTAAGTGAGCAAGTTTTATATTCGAACAACTGTAAAAATTAATTGGCTCGTTAGTATGGGTAATTAAGAAGTTAATCTTATTCGTTAGGAGCTTTAATAATCGTCGTATTTCCGGGTGTTAAAAATCAATTACTGTTATTGGGATAGGTTATTCTTATTCCTATATGCTTAGTTTCAGAAAGAATGTAGTAATTAGGTTAAATTAAGTAAAAACAGACAGAGTGCGGTAGTTAAAGGCAGTTATTCTTAAAGGATTTGTTCTACAAGATCAACTTTAGATAGCAGATCGGATGTTTATGTTCCTACCAATTAGTAATGATCCAATCTTAATTACTACCAAGTGCCCTACTCTTTCTTTCCCTTAAGTTTTAGTGGCATAATGTTGACGCCTTTATTGTTCTCCCACACGTGACCCGCAGTGCGCATTGCTCATCATCGTATATTTAATTACCATCATCAACTCGCCGAGACGTCTAAGGTTGGTGAAATGTAATAACGCTTTGAAAACACAGGAAAAAAAAATTACATTTCCATCTACAATATTTATGAAAGTTAATGGGAGTCTCGCTGATGATATGGTCCATATGAAGAAAGAAAGCCCACTAGTGCCTTTCTCAATAATTACTGCCAATAATGTTTGTATTGCTCTTTGGGGTTAATGCAATTCACTGCCGACAGCCTGAAACTTTGCGAAACACACTGCTCCATAGCATTCAATTTGGGCGAGTTCATACCTGACCAAGGATTTAATTAGCTACATTTTATGTGCTATCATTGACAAAAGTAATGGTAGCCTAATATGTAAACTCTGCAGCACAAGCAACCAATATGCCTATCATTTAATTTGTCGGTTCGCATTTCCCAATTGCACAATATATTCAAATGTTTTTTATTTTATTTTATTTTATTTTATTTTGCCTTTATTTTTAAGTGGGCGGGGTTTCAGCCGAGCCAGAAATGTTGGTTGGATAGGCTGCAAGATTTACAAATTCGGCGATCATTACTTTTGTCAATGACTGTACCTCTTCAAAAACTTTTAAACATAGGTCATTCGCTATTTCGTTTAAATTAATTAATAGAGGCTTAGTATTTCAAATTTTGCATTCAAAAACAGATACCAAAAGTAGTCCGAGGGAGTGCCGGAATTTTTCTACCCCTCAAACCCCGACAGAAAAATTGAAATTGACTGTCGTGATTCCGTCCGTCCCTTCACGCGTTTAGATCTCAGGTCTTGGCAATAAGATCTCCTGAAACTGTGCTTTTTAATTTATGATTCTTACTTCTTCGGTATTTCAATTTTCGCAACTCAAAGAAATCGTAATGGGGTTAAAAACAATCAGTATTTAACACATAATGACAAGCTGGAACCCCCACAAATGGGTAAAATGTATTTAAACTTCAAATAAATTGCAAACGAGGATTGTCGAATTTTTTGCAACTTATTGATAACTTCTGCATTATTTGCTTAATATACACTTGAATTAATTTCTATGATAAGTTGTGAATTAATTTAATTACTTTACAAGAGTTAACTGTCTTAAATAAATGTATTGCTCTTATGCTTTTAATGCTAAACCACCATCTGTATTAATTGCTTACGAAATTGCAAGTTTGAAATTAATTGCACCATTTATAAACTGTTAATTAAAAGTAAACTGTGCCAGTTACCCGCAAGAGTGCCTTAATTAAATTGATTTCCGCTGTAGTACTAATGCTAAAGCTAAACCACTTTCTATACTAAGTGTTTACTAAATTGCGAGTTGTAAATTAATTAGTTCATTTATAACTTGTTAATAAAATGGAAACTGTAGAGGGGTGCCAGTTACTCCCAAAAGTAAAATGCCTTAAATTTATTTCTGCTGTAGTTCTAATTATAATGTTAAATCACTTTTTATATTAATTGCTTACTAAATTGCCATTTGTGGGGGCGAGTCTCTAACTGTCAGTTCAATTTAGTATTTTAAACTGTGCTCTTTTTGATCTAATGAAATTGTATACAGGGTGTCCCAAATAATTTGAGATCATCGACCATTTCTTTAAATGGTAACCCTAGTTTGGCATTCCACGTTTGTTAAATATCTTCTAACTAAATGACGAGAAATAAAAATTTTAAATGCGACACACATATGTAACTTGATTAGACGTAGTCATTAAAAATTAGAGTTACCATTTTAAAAATAGTCGATGACGTCATATCTCAAACTTGGGACACCCTGTATAAAATTTTATTAAATAAAAAAGAGCGCATTTTAAAATAGTACCTAATCGACATATCCGTGCATATTTCCGAAAAAAAACTTTCTTGATTCACTCTGTTGCAGCAAGAATCATCAATGTCCCTGCCTGCCCTGTTCCAAAAAAATGTGTAAACCCTTATTATACCATGGTAAACCCCGTAACGCCTTCTACTAGAATCTGTTTTGACTCTATGTTGATGTTTACACCACCGAACCTCTCCCTTCAACCCCTCGTTCTTGCTACATGATCGCATGCTATTGGAGTGCAGGGAGGTAGGAATATGAGTGGCCGAATTTTTCTGATACTTCTATTTTACAACAACATTAGTATGGCGGTTTAGGCTACCCACATTAGTAGAACACTTTTTAAGGGGGTTTGGAATTTTCCATTTGCTAACAAAGTTTATATTTTTGTTCCGTCGCTTCGAAGAACAGAAAATATGTTGATTGTTGCTCTTGATTACTTAGCACGTTGTTTGAAGGGTCAGTAATCGCCGATTTAGATGGGTCCGTGTTCAATCTGCAACGGACGCATTGGGATAGGTCAGACAGAGCCCATATATCAATATGTAACGCTAGGTTAACGAGACAGTTCGATGAGACTGTCACTGTCACAATTAACATCCAGTAAACCTACTTAAAGTGAAGAGCAAATTAATAATGCACCTGCGGCAAAAAAGTGGACGACTACCAATCGATTGGTAATAAACGACAGTTAAGACACAAAAATTCAATTTTCTTTGAGAAATAGTGCTACAAAAGACATAGCCATCACCAACTCAGAAATTGTTGTACTTTCAATACTGCACGCCATACGAATGGTTTGGCATTATCAGTTGCGCAAAATTAGAAGATTGCAACGCTTTCTTTTTCCAGTTTGAAATCCACTCTAGTTTGATTAATAGGATTCAGAGACTTCCAAACCGCACTGTAAGCTTGTTCAAAAATGTCTTCTAAATCCTACTAAGAATCCCTCTCTGGACTGTTTAGAAATGCTCTCCGTTCGTTCGAAATGCCATCGAATTATTATCCACTCGGTGTGGCCAAGCAGCCTGCAGGGATAGTGTTCCTTTAATAATATATGTACCTATATCAAACAACAAAATTGTTGCTAACTCTATCTTTCAAATTACATATTAATTTCTTGCATAAAAAGCCGATCAAATAAAAAAAAAAAACAAATGGCTCTATATGGGTAGAAAAATGTATAGGTTGCTAATAGGCAAACAGCGCGGGTAACAGTATGCAATTTGTTTCAGTTTCTGATGTTTTTACTTTTATTTGTTGAACACATCAGATGAAATGAGCACAAACCTAAAATAGAACGGTGTTTTGCTTGTAAAGGCTTGATTCATTAAATAAAGCCTCTGGGTTCGGGATAAGGGTGTTGTTAAAATGAGATATTTACATTTGAAAACATTACAAATTGTAATCGTCATATCCTTCTAAAAGGAATAAAAGAACTGAATAAATCGCAATTAATATCGCCAAGAATCCGAACGCTTGTTATCAAAGTAACCAAAGCAAATCCGTTCAACTGAAACCTATTAAGTCAAAAGAAACAAGCAAAGCTGAACGCGAAAGAGGAGTTTGAATTACGAGCACTTATTGATCATAAAATCGAAACTGAAGTATTTCTCAAGAAATTAATAATCCTTGCTGTACACAAACACTTTATGTGTAGGTGCGCTGAAACGACGCCTTCAAGATCATTATTTCCTCTTCCCAATTAAACACCGGTTGAATTCAAATTTTATTCAAAATAGTGGTTAGACTGTAGACATAAATCTTCAAGTACCTATGCAATGCATTACATTTTCCCCCTCAATAATTTCCCGTATTCGCCTAAAAAAGCAATAAGAAATTAACCATTAGGAAAAAATCTGCCAGATTATAGAAACCCAATTTAAAAAATCGCATTCTTGTCGACTAACTATTTTTTCTGCTTTGTCAGGAATGAAATAAATGTTTTCGTCGTAGTATAGGAGGAAATTTTGAAAACAATATTTGAGGCAATGTCATATTATTTTAAATCTTCAGTGCGTGAATTAAAGGAATGTATATACTTGGACGTTTATATATTGTAAATAACGTTTATTACGTAAATACTTTTTTCCGTTCAGTTGATTCTACTCAAACTCATTGGACATTTACGGAAAATCTCCCGAGAACGATTTCCTTTAAATTCCTTCGACAAAGGTTAACCAAGAATACTTGATTACTCCTCAGAAATATTTTACAATACAAAATACTTAATACAACATTTGTTTCTTCACGCACGTGGATGCCAATCCTTTGTCTTTGTAGATTCCCAACCCCGTGCGTGATTAGGCTAGTAATGCATGATTTCCATGCAACGTACCGTATTGTTTCAATACGAAAAACCACATTATCACCCACTATTTTATCAACTTGCGCGATTGATGCACGTTTCTCTAAATCTTTTCGATGTTTAAATTTCAAGTGGGAGGGCCCAAAAAATAATTGGGCCCATTATGTTACAATCTTCGTGGTGTGCAGCTCTAACGGTCCAATATTACAGGTAAAGAAATAATTATAAAGGCCCGTTTTTAATATAAATTCTGAACATTCCAGAACGGTTACTGTCTACACACATAACTTTTTTCTCCTGCCATTATTCACACACGAAACTTTATTACATACCTCTTCCATATTTGTCAGTCGTGAAAAACTGACACTTTTGGTTCTATATCAACATTGCCGTTATACGCTCGGGCTAGAAACTTATTGATTGCGCCCAAT